CCCACCCGCCACCCGTACCTTGTATTCGAGATAATAGACGACTAATATGGCACTGCAAATAACGCGGTGGCCCCTCCGCCTCTGCAAATAAGGCTCGGTCGGCAAATTAAAGAGGACGCAGGAAAAGCTTGGTCCTCCCTTTTCACATATCATACCAGCTTGTATAGTTGAAGAGCAAAAATATTTCTTTTCAATCCTCTGAAATTTGACCTGACTTTTGCCCTATATCAAAAGTTCATATTAGTGATGTTCAGAGTATATGCACGCCGAATAATTTGGAAAGTTACAATAATTTGCATGAAAAAACTTTTTAAAATATTTCAAATAGCAAATTTGAAAAAAAAAACTATCAAAAAACTTTCGGAATCTTTCAAAGTAAACACCTATGATTTTTAAAATTCACAGCTTTTGAATTTCCGTGTGCGTCTCCACTGATGCATTTTTTAAAAAAATACTTCAGAATAAGAGATTTGTTTGGAAAATGAATTATCGGAGTACACTTAGGGAAACCATAAGCTGTGAACAAACCAGTTCATGAAAATTTAGTGCACTAAAACTCACATGGGAATGAGGAAAAAAGCTGTCATTCCTCCTTTATACGATGTTAGTGTAGGAAGCAAAAGAAAATTTCAAGTGGGAAAGTCCATTATTGCGGGGAAGTTAAGCGTGCAAGAAGGAATTAAGTAGCTTGTGGCGTCGGGTGGCTCCGTCTAGTCGGGCGGTGCTCGGTCCTCAAGTAGAGGGCATGTAGAACACGCACATTACACGATGTAGCCAGATAAGGGGAGCGAGCGCCACTCGTGTCGTCCTTATCATGCCCATCGATATTGACAAGGGGAAAAGAGCAAGGTGACTAAAAAACAGCAGACGACCCGTGCCTTGAAGCGCGCTCTTCCAATCTTCAATGCATTTCACTGTTTCCTTTGGTGGGAATAAAAATTAGCTAAATAATATTTTGTAGGCATTTTTTGATTTTGTTTCTTTGGTGCTCTACGGCGAGATTTTTGGCGTGTTCTCTGTATAAATACCGAACTGACTGAAAGTGACCAAACAACAACCACAGTAAACATGCAGCACGGACCACACACTGTAATATGTATTCAAAGGCACGATACGATACAAAGGCGTCTTGACTCGCCATAATGCATTGCAGCCACAACAATACAGATGACACCGAAAAGGCCTCCTCCTCCTCCTCCCTCCCTGCCTTGCACACCCCCTCTATGTCTCGCTCCCTCCCGCAGAAAGGAAAGTAGTTTCATTCCTCCCTCCCTCTCTCTCTCCCTTAGCCTCGCGAACCCTTCCCTCCGTGGAATGGGGATATAAATGCTGAGCGAGACAACCGTATGACCCCCTCCCTCCCCTCCACCTCCCCCAGCCTCGCCCTCTCCCTCTTGGCTCCGCGGTCCATCTGGGATCTGCTCATTCAGTCATTGTTTGTATCTGCAGCGATTTGTCGCCAACCCTCCGCTCTCTCTCTCTCTCTCTCTCTCTCTCTCTCTCTCTCTCTCTCTCTCTCTCTCGTTCGCCATAACTAGCGTTGTGCAATCATCGAAATTCGGCCGTGAACTTCTCTCGCTCTTTCTCGCCCCCCCCCCTCTCTCTCTCTCTCTCTCTCTCT